TGTCTGAATTGCTCCTCTATTAATGCATATACTTGCTTGTTAATGTATGTGTAAACTAGCTTGTAAATAGAATAGGAGATTTAGTAAATTGATTTTGTATGTTGAGTTGTAAGTATGAACGATGAAACTGAAGAACAATATTTTTTTGAAAGAAATATGAACAATATTAAATTGATTTTGCTGTGCATGTATGGCTTGCTGCCCTAGCGAACTGACCATTGATATTTAGATATGATTTAGCATGACATCTTCTGGTAGGATAAGACAAATGCGATATATTTTGACAAAAATAGATAGGGGCTGCATTAACATTGGACTTGGCTTATTTTGCTAGTTTGTCAGCTAACTTGATTATGTCCATAGGAATCCACATGACCTGCAAAAGAGATTCAGGAATTGTGGCAACGATCTGACTACAAATAGGTCTTAATAAGCTGCAATGACCTGGCTCCGTTTCGGATCTTCCTTTTTTAAGGGTTTCGACAATGGTAGAATTATCAGAGAGGAGCATGTAACCGAAGTCATTGTGAAATACACAAATGCATATATTCTCCAGTGGTGCTGAAAAAAGAAACAGAGTTCTGAAACTACTGGATGATGTGCAACACAAAATTTGACTGTACAGCTGAAATGAAAACAGAAAAATTATCTCTGAACAACCATTTTCAGAAAATGTATTTTAGTATAACAATTTATCGTACATACAAAATTTGCAGCCATTGTGGGGGAACTGTAGTAATTGCTCAATAGTTTAGAGTGGCAATGTATTTATGCAGTTGATGGTTGTTCTTTTTTTTATATATACTTATGAGGTATAAAGGACGTAAGCTTATATTTGGGTGCTTGATCTGTTTGTTTTTTTTTGTACTTTTCCGTAGGTGAGGTCTGACATAATGACTTCGAGCTATGTGAGCCTAGAGGATCAGGAAGAGTATAAAATGATGGGTACTGTGGTTTTTTCAAGTGAGGAGGAAGGTTACAAATTCTATTTAGACTATGCAAAGGGGAAGGGTTTCAGTGTGAGGAAAAACAACCTTAAACGGAAGGACGGTGAGATTATATGGAGGCAATTCGTATGCTCATGTGAAGGGTACAGGGAGTTGAAGCACTTTGAGAGGACAGAGCGGATAAGGGAGCCACGGGCACTGACCCGCTGCGGTTGCTTAGCTAAGCTTGAGATTGAGCGGAACGAGGAGAAGGGGGTGTGGTTTGTTAAGGAGTTTGATAACCAACATACGCACGAACTTGCAAATCCAGACCATGTTGCTTTTTTAGGAGTTCATCGTGTGATGAGTGATTCTAAGAAAGCCCAAGCGGTCGAGCTTCGCATGAGTGGCCTTAGGCCCTTTCAAGTCATGGAGGTTATGGAGAATAACCACGATGAGTTAGACGAGGTTGGTTTTGTGATGAAGGACCTTTATAATTTCTTTACGCGGTACGAGATGAAGAATATCAAGGGTCATGATGCTGAAGATGTGTTGAAATATCTAACAAGGAAGCAAGAAGAAGATGCAGAATTTTTCTTCAAATACACCACGGATGAGGAAGGGCGTCTTAGGAATGTGTTTTGGGCAGATGCTGAATCACGTTTAGACTATGCTGCTTTTGGTGGTGTTGTTATTTTCGATAGCACTTACCGTGTAAACAAGTACAATCTTCCTTTCATTCCTTTCATAGGAGTTAACCACCACAAAAGTACAACAATTTTTGGGTGCGGAATTCTATCAAATGAGTCTGTCAACTCTTACTGTTGGCTCCTTGAGACTTTTTTGGAGGCAATGCGTCAAGTGCATCCAAAATCATTAATTACCGATGGCGACCTAGCAATGGCGAAGGCTATCAGTAAGGTAATGCCGGGTGCTTACCATAGATTGTGTACTTGGCATATAGAGGAGAATATGAGTCGTCACCTTCGTAAGCCAAAACTCGACGAGCTAAGAAAATTAATTTATGAGAGTATGGATGAGGAGGAGTTCGAGAGACGTTGGGCTGATTTTAAGGAGAATGGAGGCACGGGAAATGGACAATGGATCGCTCTGATGTACCGACTAAGGGAGAAGTGGGCAGCTGCCTATACAGATGGGAAATACTTGTTGGGTATGCGCAGCAACCAACGTAGTGAGTCACTGAACTCAAAGCTTCACACCCTTCTAAAGAGAAACATGTCACTAATGTGCTTAGTCAAACATGTTAAGTTGTGCATACAAGGCCTGCGTAAGAAGGAGGCTCAGTTGGACGCTAAGTCTACCAATTCGGTCCCTTTTTGTAGAATAGACGCCGACCCATTGGAGAAAGACGCTGCCCGTATATACACCGCAGTCGTATTCAAGAAAGTCCGTGCACAGATACGGCTAATTGCAGGACTTGAAGTCATCAGTGGGACTAATCAAGATGGTTCGTCATTGTATGTTGTTGGTTTGAAGGACGATAATGAGGTGTGGGATGAAGTGAGGGTTTCTTTTAAAGGCCAGGCTTTGGAAGGTGTGGAATGTCACTGTCAGAAGATGGAGTGCGAAGACATCCCTTGCTCACACATTTTTGTTGTAGTCAAGTTCCTTGGTTTTGACACCATCCCTCGTTGTTGTGTCGTGGATAGGTGGACAATGGGAGCAAAGGCGGCATTTAGGTCAGACAGGAATGCCGATCCTAATGTGTGGTCTGAACACATGGTTCGGTACCGTAGCCTCCGAAATCTAGGTAGTGATGCTTTCTTCGAGGCCGCTAGGAACCCTGAGCAGACAGAAAAGGCGATGGATTTCTTAAAGGGGATTTTGGATAAAGGATCGTCATCCGATGAGAACATCGTGGCCGGAGATTTTGGTCCTATGTCAACTCACTTTTTGTCTAGTAACCAGCCATTAGAGAAGAGAGTACTTGGTCCTGAAGAGATTAGGGCAAAAGGAGCTCCATCGAAGAGACGAAGGCCATTCCGTGAGACATTGCACACAAATAACCAATAAGGTAATTGTGTCTCACAAACTTTGTATATTTTGTATTATTGGCATTGTTTTTGTTTTGGATTAGTTTAATCTTTTCTCAAGATGTGCATATTAAGTGTTTCCGCTGGTGAATGCTTTTGGATTAGAAATGCTGTGAACTAAACTTTATTAGACAGTTATTGTTCAATCAAATGTTACTGTTCCTGGTTGAATTCCATGGAATGGAAATTCGAAATAGTTTTAAAATGATATATGGAGAATTTCTTTATTGGGAAGGATATACTTTTACATAGTCTTAGTTGAACATAGTCTGGGGTAATAATTCAGGTTCAGACAAGAGACTTGTAATCAGGAGACAGATCATGGCAAGAACACAAGATTACTTGTGCCATTAATACTGAAAACTTTTTTTGTTTGGGGAGGGGGGGGGGGTATTCTTCTAGTTACACCCTCCTCTGAATCCATTTCAATTTCGTTTGCTGACTGTTTCCTATTTCTACCAGTTCAGTGGCTCCAATCTTAGCAATAGGTGAAGAACAGACTCCTTTTCTATAGCCATCAAGACTGCATGCATGGGAACAGATCATTTTGCTGTGTGCATCAGGTAAAATCTCTTCTGAAAGTTAGGCGTGCGTTTCCATATGTGCAGAAACATTGCAGCAGTTTTTAATCAGATCTTGTAAGTTATAAGGTACAATACAACTGCATATGGCTGCTGGACTTGGGAAGCTTTTTAATCACTACTAGTTTGGTCAGGAAACCTTTTTCCTGTGATGATTATAGAACGATCTGCTAACTACTTCCTCCAATGTGAGCCTATGGCAGTAGTAAGGCTTTGCAATCATACAAACTTGTGAGCAGTGATAAGTTTGGATTTATAGGCTTACTTTATGGTGTGTCAACATCTTGGTTTTATTTATTTTTTCTGTCACATCAACTTTTCAGATTGAAGTAATAGTACTGTCATGTTCCTAAATATCCAAGATTACATGATCAGAGTGTCCACATGTTGTATGAACTATGAATGCCTCAGAAAAGTGAAGTGCTCCACTAAGGCCTCGAACCTAGTTGTCAGTTCCAAAACTTCAGACGAATTAAATTTTAAAAAAATCACCGACAATTCTTGAAACAGTTTATGGGTGATAATAATAAACATCAAATGTCTTGTTGCGACAAGAAAGGGATTTTCAGTTCCTGCAAAAGACCATTATTCATCTTCTAGCCATCTACATTTCCCTGTCATGAATAGCATGTAATTTGGCAAGATCTAATCTCATTAGCTTGACATTCCAGTATTGAACACCTTAGCCTTCATAATTTAGGTTTATCTTTAATTTGATTTGATTGCAAAGTCTCCTAAACTTTATTAAATTTTGACAAAGTGCCATGTTCTGAATTCTGATTACTCTTCTGCTGCCCATCCTATCGCGGTTTGCGCAGCATGATATAGACGGCCAACGGAGCAGCTCGGCGACACACTCCCGGCATCGTCAATGGCGCCCATCGCTGCACAGCATCTCCGAAGTCAGTAGCTGATGCGATTGTCAGTGGCCGGCCTGTTCAACTGAACTGTGTTTTAGAGTTCATGCTCATGACTTCATCAGACTTCATCAGAAGTTTGCGTGTTCAGCTCATGCGATGTTCAGTACTTCAGTTTGGTTGCGTTGGTTTCAGCATCTCAAAATGGATCGTTGAGATATGATTGTCTGACAATGACATGTATAAATATTGCACTTCCTAAGTATCGATGTATATTACGTACTTGCATGTCATTAAATGACTTATACCCTCTTGAACAGGATGTGAAGAAAACAAGCTAAATTAATTGATGAATTATGATATGCACTATGTGATTTATATTTAGCCTACGTGATGGTTTAAGCTGTTATATGGTGTTCATGTTAATTTTGTCTATAGATATACCAACTATGTGTTGTAGGAAATAGAAAACTGTACTGCTGAAAATAATCAAAAGGCATCGGTACAGTAAATACAGTTCGTCTTGAACAGCACCAAGCCAAAACAGTGCAATTAATTTCAGGGAAAAAATTGTAGCTGTATATGACAATAATTAATCGAACACAATGCCTCAGTTATTATTAGTCACCATGAATTTCTGACATGTTCAATATGTCTTCATTGAGCTGAAATTATCAAAACCGTAAAGAACTCTTATTCAATCATACATCTGCCGCCCTAGTTCCTCCATCAGTACCATGTCCGTTTGAGGTAGAACAGATATTGTTTCGAAGCTTGTTTGACGGAGACATGTACAAGATTGCTGCAAGTTTTCTCCTGTAGCTGTCTATGTCTTCCTGTGTAATTGACAACAATATTATTAGTTTTAAATGAAATAAATAGGAATGCTTCCGTGCTAATTGTACAACATATATACCTGATAAAATTGTTTGCTTAGCGAATCTCCTGTCCATAACTCCATGAACTTGATTGAGTAAAGCCCACTGGATGTCCTGTACGAGTACGAGTAGATGTAAAATTATTCCGAAATAAATTTTTTTACAAAGTCAACTCTCAGGGTTGTAAATATCAAACCTGTCTTTTTTGTTATTCAAGTTATATCTAATCCTGATTTTCCAAGCTTGAACATTGTAATCGTCCCACAGAGGGTTCTCTACTATTTTATCATCGAGGACAAGTCGGACACATTTGCGGATGCCTTTCATCTACATGAAATAAATATGTGATAATTAATATTCTACAAACTTGGTTGCACTGATAATGCTAACACTTTATGGGGAAAAAGTACCAGAAACTTAAGTTCTTTCAAGTCATCTTCAGTCGTGTCCATTGAGTCAAGGACACACACCTTTCTGGTACAGTCCAGAACCGCTACGTACCAATGGTCTATTGAAGTTCTTATTGGTAGGAAAATCTGTATGTCAAATCAATACAATTTACAAAATAGTTAAATAATATAATGAATTCAATTTTGTAAGGTATGATTTTACCATATCATTATTCACATAGCTGACTCCAGCGGATTTGTACATATTTTCATCAGTGTTTCCTAGCTCAACACCATCATAATAGCCATACTTGATAAGCATTGACACAACTGACGGGGTCTCTAAGTAGGCATGGTACATATGTTTATGTCGTTTAATTGATCTACTTTGTCCAAAATGCTTGACAAACGCCTTAATGATCTGCATCAGCAATACAATTTATGAAGCATTACTTAGAGATGATTTTGCTTTACTTTTTGCAAAAATAGTGCATAGGCGTACCTTTGTGCTAATGTTTTTTTCATAATTGTCATACGGATAAGTCTGTACAAGACATACCAAATCGGCCTTCGTCAAAACGACGTCAACAATATGGATGATCGTCTCAGTAGGCTTTGCACACAATATACGCAACGCAATGCGTGTTTCGTCCGTAGTGCAAACAAAATCGAAGTCATCGTTACCGTCTACCAAGCATCTTTTGTAACAATCAAATTTCTTGTTACTTACAACGGCCCTACCATTGACTCCTCGAACCCTCTTTCCTATAGTGCTAGGATACTCGACCTCGATGTATCTTTTCCTTGGAAAATGTTGTTCTCCATGCGTTATATCCTGCACAAAAGAAAGATACGTGTCAAAGCATTTTGCCATGTGGAAAAAACAAACATAAATCTTCAGAAAATGTACCGTGACTTGCTGTAATTGTAGCTGTTGAATGTGTTCAACGTTTGTCATTCTATCATTCATATTTTCCTGAAATTCAGTGTTATCATGGGCCATCTTTATCAACATCTTTTGCGTTTCACAAATTTGGCTCGAAAGGTCCCCCAGTGAAAGCAAAATCTGTGTTTGCAATCCGGAGACCTGAACAAATAAAAACATTAATTTATTATTCATGCACAAAACCAGAAAACAAACATTCATTTATTCCCGTATACAAAATCACGTACTAAAAAAACAATCACAATCATTTGCTTCATATTGTCACTACGTCATTATAGCTTCCGGCTAATATGGTGGATACAACACAGAGGTGCTAGACATGGATTTGCAATGTTATATAATTGACAAGTTTATGATTAAAAAAATGGATATAGATGTGCGGACTATGTACCAAAAAAAATTGGAGTACACAATGAGAGTTATTAAAAATAAATATCTATGACAACAGGAATGTGAGCAAAAATACCGCAGTTTTTTGAAGAATCGGTGGAGATCGGAAAGCATCGATAACACCCGTAACGACGGGGTCATCTGAAACGGTGCAAGTGCTATCATCCTTCGAAGTCTTACTGGCCCTAGACCGTGCCGCTGAAGAATCCCCCGTCGGATGGTTCGCTGCCGACGTCGTCATCGGAGACCTCGTCGGGTGCGTCGCTGCAGACGTCGTGATCGGAGACCCCGTCGGGTCCGTCGCTGCCGACATCGTCACCGGAGACTGCTGGCGATCGGCAAGTTTCATGATTGAAACTAATCTGGCGAGACAACAAGAAAAGCAGAATAACAAATACCTATTTTCCTGGAATCTATATCTATTTGTATTGTTGCCGCTACATCCGGCCGGATCAACATGTGACCGTGCACAACTCAAGTTGAGCATTCCAATGTTTTCGTTGTTCCGTTTTCTGTGGATATATATATACCTGCACGCTGTAAAACGCAACGGATTATTTCGGTCATAATAACTACTATAACGTCCGAGACGGTCGAATTTTTAGAAAACAATGATTTCCGGTCGAGCGCGCATAGAATATATCTGCACGGATTATTTTGGAGACATAAAAAATTAAATCGCACCGTCCGGACCGGTTCGATTTTTTAGAAAGCATGGATTTCCGGTCGATAGCTAGTATACTACAGCGCAACAGATTATTTTGGACACATAAAAAATTAAGTCGCACCGTCCGTACCGGTTCGCTTTTTTAAAAACATGGATTTCCGGTCGATAGCTAGTGTATTAAAGCGCAACTGATAATTTTGGACACATAAAAGATTAAGTCGCACCGTCCGGACCGGTTCGCTTTTTTAAAAACATGGATTTCCGGTCGATCGCTCGTATAATATAGCGGAACAGATTAATTCGGACAAAATAACTATTACGTCCGGGACGGTCGATTTTTAATAAAACAAATATTTTCGGTCGATCGCTCGTATAATATAGCGGAACGGATTAATTCTGACAAAATAACTATTACGTCCGGGACGGTCGATTTTTAATAAAACAAATATTTCCGGTCGATAGCTCGTATAATATAGCGGAACGGATTAAGTCGCACCGTCCGGAGGGTCGCTTTTTTAAAAACATGGATTTCTGGTCGATAGCTCGTATATTATAGCGGCACGGATTAATTTTGGACAAATAAAAAATTAAATCGCACCGTCCAGAGGGTCGCTTTTTTTAAAAACATGGATTTCCGGTCGATCGCTCGTATAATATAGCGGAACAGATTATTTTTCACAACTATAAAAAATTGTCGGAACTTATCCTGTGTTATATTAACGATATCTTTTTATTCCGTTTTAAACTCACGAGGTTTTTAAAACTAATACTACCGAACACGGCTGAGATTAGGTAGTAGAAGTATAACAGAATTTCCGTACTCTAACTGAATTTTTTTCATGCATAATTATCTGTTTTTTTTTCCTGCAGAATTTTGCTCATATGTTTTTATGCCGAATTATCTGTTCTTTTTTAAACCGAATTATCTGTTATTTTTCCCTGCCGAAATTTATGTTTCTCGTAGCCGCGGATTTACAATAGCTAATAACTGTGTATCATATTGATCTTCTATTTTTTCATAACAAGCTAATCCCAGGTGTAATATATATGTCGATATATGATACAGTTCTCGGTTTCTTTACAACATGAGGCCAAATTATGAGCCCCCCATGAGGAGCAAACAAAAACAATATGCTCCCGCGATGACGGGCACAAGCCAACAGAAGAAAAAACGGGTACGTCTTTTTACATGAAATTTTCACTCTCAGCTCTTGTATACATCACTGCTGGAAATCATACACTCCTCAAGCAAAAAATACATCCGATCTGAGGTGCTATGATAAGTATAGCAGATATAACTAGATTATTTAGGAAGATAGTCTCTTTCCTGATGAAACTGCGTGCCTCTTTTGAGCTCTGGCTAGTCTCTGTATCAAATGTTTAGAGGACGTAGCAGCCTCACAGAGAAAACACCATGGCAAGATGTCCCAAGAAATATGGGCCTGCTACATGGGATAATACAGGCAACAGTTTAAAGGGGTCAGGTTTAACTCATACTGCAGCACCATACACTTTTGTTACCCAACATATAGCTGATTTTCCCACCTAACAGAGCGTATATAGAATCAATTTTTTAGTGAATTAAACAAATGCTAAAGCTCCCATAACAGAACTTGGCAGCAAGTTGAAATGCTAAAGCTCCCCCTGGTACATGTACAAGCTCCAACTTTGAGAGATCTGGATCCTTGGATTCAGCTACCATTCTTCGTATTGTTCCACACATACATACTAGAGGGAACTGCAAAAACAGGACAGAAGTATACTATGATTATACCCATTTTGCAACTGTACTTTAGTATATAAAATCTTTTATTAATCTTGCAGAGATAAATATGAAATACATTTTCATTGCTAATACCTTCCAATGAAAGCTCCTTCCACAGACACAAGAAAAGAAAACACCATATGAAAGCTCAAAAAGCATTTACGACCTTAACCCTTATTTTCCCGTGAACCAATTACTGCTTTGTCTCCAATTACGCACTCTTATATTGACTAACACCTTCATCCTATATGTTCAGAAATCCCTGTCGAGCCAAACCCCCACCCCACCCCCACGCCCACCCCCACTAAGAAAGATATAGTACAAAAAAATATATGCTTGCATAATTATCACATCAGTAAGAATATAGTACATTATGATTTATATGACCCCAAATGGTAATAAGGTGTTCACTTCAATCACATTGGTTCTCATGTTAAGAAAATTAATATGGATTAGTACCTTATGATGTGCAATACAGTGCACCATTAGGATTCATGGCTGCTGTATATATGAGCACTTGTATAAATTTTCACAAGGACTAAACTTTTATTATCTTTTCTGTTAATCAGGGAACTCTAGTTTGCTCTCCACATGCCATGTACGAGGTAATACTCCATCTAAGTCCACGTCAAAAGGAAGCTATCGAGGGTTCAGGTCTTGGCAACTTGCTAAAGATTGACAACATACATATTGACCGAAACTTGTGTAATGAGATTGCAAGAAGCTACGACAAGGAGAAGAAAGCATTCAATATTAATGGTACCTTCGTAACGATGACACTCGATGATGTTGATTGTTTGCTTGGACTGCCATCAAAAGGAGATGACATATTTGAGGCACCAAAAATCAATAAACCAGAATTGTTCAACCTGTACAAACAGGAAGGCCAAACAACAATTACTTTACAAGCATTACGGGAAGCAATAATCAACTCCTCGAGCTACGATGACCACTTCATTCGAAGATTTATTCTTTTCTCAATTGGATCATTCATATGTCCTACAACTCAAAGATATGTGCGCTCAGAATATCTCAATCTCGTCGACGACGTTGACAAAATGAGGGAACTAAACTGGTCTAGTCTAACACTGAATCAGTTACTGAAAGGCATAATAAAATTTAGAGAGAAGACAACAAACATTGAGGGGAATGTATGCCTCTTACAGGTTCGTTTCAAAATTTAGTATGTTTACAAAATTGTCATGAACATATTTTCATAGCAATACTCATTATCTAATGTTCAAATGCTTGCAGATTTGGTATTGGGAAAAAGTGCAAATAGATAAATTGGCTGCGACAATATATCATTCTAGCCGTCAAAGGCCACTAATTCAGTACTGGGAAAAAAAAGAAAAAAAGCGAATTTCTTACCTTTTTGGACAAGGGAAGGTAACTATCTCATTTTTAATACTATGTACTAATTATATCAACTGTCTGTAAAATCTCTAATACCCCTTTTTCACTAAAAATAGGTTGTCGACGATATTAGGGGAACTATACATTGCAATGAAATCCCCGATGAAAAAGCGCACGACAATGACTCAGAAACACGTAGCAATGAAGATTTTCAAGGCACTTCTGAAGAGGTATATATTATGGGGTTTTAATACGAACTCTATTTAACAAAATATGTTTGACATCCTTTTCTCACTTGTGCTATTCAGATACACTCTATAACATCCACTGAACAATTAGCCGACATCACTTTACAAGAAAGGTTACAAGAAAGCATCCAAACTTTACAAGATAATTTCAATGATTTCACAAAGGATTTTTGGCCACGTATGCGATCATTGATACTAGATTGCATGGAAAATGATTCAAAATGCCCAAAGCGAAAAGATAGTACGCATGTGTTTGAGGTAAACATCATATGCTAGACTGTTAATCATTATTACTTACGTATATACACCGCTAAAAAAAGGTTGACACTATTGCAGGATGTTGAACAAGAACAAAATGATCCCAGGGAGCATGTATCAAATCATAACGAAGAGTCCTATATAAACCAAAATGTAAACATGACTTGTGAAACGAAGGTAAACTAAATTTTATTTCTCTCGCTAACATTACTACATCTTATCATAATACTGACGTGTACTTTATTACCTAACAGGACAACAGTAACTAGAGCAATCAAAGCAGGAAGAGGCTTACAGGTCCTAAAGGAAGAACATACAAACCAACTAATTGGACTGACTTCATCTACGAAACAAGGGGTAAAAAGAAGGACATAATAAGAACCCAAGCACAGACAAAGAAAACGATAGGTACTATGCTATTTCATATTTACATATGCTCATGTCAATGGTACTATGTCACGCCCCGAACTAGTACCGACCGGAACTAGCCCGCGACGCTCCAAATTAACCTGTTAATCGATACCAGTCCCAGGAAACAGTGCTGGTATCACAGGAAGACAGATTATCACAGCAACAGAGGTCTCTTTATTATAGAGTAGAGGTACAGTCATGTTGGGCTGCGGACAGATCCCGAGCTCACAACTGCATTACAAAAGGGAAGCGGAAGCCAGGACTTGGACCAAACAACACAGGCGCGACTTGGGAACTAAGCCGAAACCCTAAAACTCATCGTAGCCGGCTTGCTCCTGGAAGAACTCCTCATCAGCAGGATCCGCTTCATCTTCTTCAGCAACTGGGGGGGGGGGAATTATTTATATAGAGCAAGGGTGAGTACGGGAGTACTCAGCAAGCCATGGGAAATAAGTGTTTAATGCAGGCTACAAAGAAAGGGCTGTTGTTTTTGCAATTGATTTTATTTGAACTCTTTTCTAAAAACAACTAAGTGAGTGCTTCTCAAACGACACGGATGAGACAGTGCGTCTCGTCCGGTCGGAGTATGTGCAATGTATCAGTCTTTTGAATTGATCAAGATTGGCACCCGGCCAACAACTTTCAAACGGCCACCC